TGACATTATAACAAAGTTTGAGGTACAAAGAGACAAAGGGGTGAAGGGGAGAAATGAAATAAGGCGTAGACAGATGGCTCTTTGCTGTTCTCCTGATAACACTTCTATCCGTGTAAAACATAACAAGCCCCAGGTGAACGCAATAAACACCGCATAAAATCAAACTATCATCATGATGCTAATCACAACAAGTGTAGCCTGTCATGATGTCGTTATCGCTGTATGTGCAAGACACTTTAACGTTTTGTGGGTGACAGTTAACATAATGAAGAAGCAGATAAAAATAGAGAGGGAAGACAAAATAAACAAAAGAGACGGAGATAGCCGGATACAGTGGGGAGGTGATGACGGATCAAAAAGAAAAGGCAGATTGTGATACGGAGAGACAAAGAGGGATACATCTGTAGTTTAAATGCAGAATAAAAGTTGATGTTGCCCCAGTGCGTGCTTTGGTCATGAAATCACCAACTGATGTCAAGACAATTACACGCGCTGCCAGGCTGGGCCGCTAAGGTGTCGTTCTGACAAACTTCTGATTGACCCCTGAAGAATGCTTACACTGTGAATATATTTGTCTCCAACACACATTCACATTCAGACTTGAGCAGCCTGGTGTCCTAAAACGATAGATCACATTGGTAAACAAGGACACTGCATTGTGCGATACGCTTCAAGAAAAACACAAGCTGTCCTAGACTATGTTTGATTTTGACAAAACACATATATGTTAAAAAGAAAATAAATGGAGAAATGTAGGTTTTGGGGGTTAGAAAACTGTCTGTGGGAAACTACAATTTACATTCAAGTTTAAGGAAATTGCTTTGTCAAATATGTTTCAAGAAAAACACACGTTGTCCTGATCTATATTGGATTTCGGGCGTGACACAAATACGCCGTTATTATTAAGTCTCGCATTTGGAAAATAATGGTCTTATAAAACGACACTATACATTAACATTCAAGGAAACTGCATTGTCCAATACGCTTTCGAGAAAAACACAAGTTGTCCTACACTATGTTTGATTTTGACAAAGTAAAAACACGATTTATTTTTAAGAGTCTGCAGAAATTAGTTATTGGACGAGAACCGGGATGGTTTGGTTGGTTATAAAAACGGACGACTGAAACTATAAATCACATTCCTATACAAGGAGATTGCATTGTTTATTAGGCTTGAGGAAAACATAATTATTCCTAGACTATGATTGATTTTGTCGTAACACACATACATTTTACGACGAATGACTGCGTTACTGTTTATGTAATGATCCGTTCATATAGGATAATCCTTATTCTGTCTTTCTGTTAACAGTGCTGAATCATTCTTAATAGTATGAACCTCGGTTAAGGATCACTTACACAAGTATGACATGATGGTCCAAATGTCTAGTGTGACATTATCAAGTAAATGTTTTTAACATCTGTGAAATTGTCTCAGTCTTAAGGCACAAGCTCCATCTTTAACTCATCCCAGGTGTTCTGTCTCTTACACTGTTGCACGACAATATAATCTTTAATTTCAATCACAAGTGTTTTTGTTTCTTTTGTCTTATATTTTAATGTGCTTAGGTAACTGATTCACAACACTGGACTTTAAACCTTGAAGTCTATGATGACTTACTGTAAAACATAATAACGTGCCAAAATACCAATTTAAAGTGGACCTATCTTGCTATATTTGAATAATATAGTGTAGGACCATACCTATATAAGGCATATTTATACTTTTTTTTTTTCATAATACCAAACAGATCATGCATTTTAGCCATGCCTCATTTCGCTCAATTTGACATTTTTTAGCTCTGTTTTTGCAAGGGCTGATTCTGTGAGAACAGCACCATCTCCAGGCCTGGCATATGTACTACAGCGTCTCCAGCGCTTTCGAACGGCAATGGCCGTGGCTGTCTCCTCCTGATTGGTGGAGTTGGTCCAATAGCCGTAGCGCCACCGTCCTGACGTCAGGACAGTGTTCAAATCTGGATCAGTTTTTATCAGATCCGTTGCAGCCCCTTTTTTTAGAGATTTGGTTATGGAGGAAAATAGAGAGGGTTGTGTTTTCTGACACTTGGTGAGTTCCCTGGAACACCGGGGACACATATTCATGTATAAAAGACGTACAAAAGTGCATTTTGCATGATAGGTCCCCTTTAAGCAAAACCATGCTTTTTTTCTAAACTTTACCTATGAGTCTTGTGTGTTTTACTTTTGTATTTACAACTACCTGTTTTGAAATGAACTGTAATATACTGTAGGAGAAAATGTATATCCCTCGTTATGCAATCGATATGCAGTTAAATTGTATGGGAACGTTATTTTGTGCGTTTTTGAAGGAAATGACCATTGCTGAACATATGCACGAGCTCATACACACAAAGTATATGCATCTCTCCATCTCTCTCACACACATGCATTCTGCTCGGTTTATGCATTGCATCATTCACCCTGCTGACATAATCTAGCATAACATGAAACTCTCATTAATTCAGTATTATTTCAGCATTCAGTCATTCATCATTGGCGATCTATGATTAAGCAAACTGTCACACTACCATGCAGTCTCATTCATCAAACATTTGCATGGGAATGAAACCTTGATGGGTGGTGGGCTTGGCGTTCTATCGCTTCTGTTGACGAGTGGAAATCATTCACTTTGTCCGTCTGCAGCTTTGTTTTTTTGAGTTTCCTTTCCATTTACTGTGGTATCATTTGGACTCAGCTCAGGTAAACCAATCTACCTTTCCCTGACATAGACCTGAGGTGGATTTAATACAGTGTCAAAAATAAGAAATATGGTATGGGCTCTGGCTTTTCAATGCCATATGGAGGGATGATTTTCTTTCTCCTGCAGTGTATCACAAAGTGTCACTTCTGGCACTGTTTTGAAGTGGTCTGCAGTGACTGTTGCCAAAGATCTATTTTAACTTGCTCGCCAGCTAGCAGCTGCAGCATGATTGCCGTGGAAATTAAATAAAAAATATTATCTATTGCTTATATTAGCAACAGACACACATAGAGGGACATAGAACGTGTGTGAGGGAGTAGAAGTATATCCATGTTTTTCTGCTACAATATACAATGTATGTATTTCAACCTGCTGTCGCTGCCCAATCCGTACCAGAAACCCAATTTGTTCTGCTCATGTGCCAATATGCAGCTACTTCCTGTCACTGCTCTCGTTTATGGCGCTTTAGATATGCGCTGATATCGCAGTCTCTCCTCCTCCACGGATACACCCTTGATAAGATGTATGTACCTTTTGTCTTTCAGGTATTAAAACATTAGAACATCTATGTTTTGTTGTGAAATGTAAGCGTACACTTTACTAACAATGACTAGAAGATTATTTCACTCTGAACGTTTTATTATTGTGTTGATTTGCCATTTAAATTGTAAATCCCAGCATGGTTTTTTGCTTAATACCATGTTTAACATAGGTCATTTTATTCCAATTATGCTCCGGGTTGCTTGTCAAATGCAATCCTATCGTATGTCAAAACCATTATTATGCACATGCCCGGTATATTAAACCTTCATATCAGAATAATGGATCTCAAAGGACACAGCCCGCTGTGACATGCCGTTAAATTGACTCTCATTTAGCTTTTTGTCTGATTATTAGAATGCACAGCCATAACTGCAAAATGACCAAATGCCATTTTAATAACTAATCATTTGAGACTTTCAGCGGCTCGTACTGTAAGGACTGATATCATCACAATTCACAACTCCCTACTTCAATGTGGACTTATGTAGATTGTGATCTTTTTTTATTGTAAATACTATGTGAATGTCTTTGTATATAATAGTATTTTATTATATAAAAGGAATTATGATTATGTATCTGAATTCAAGTTGTATATTCAGACCTTCTAATAGTATTACTGACTATAGAAAATAGTAATTTGGCTGAAGGGTTTTTACTGTGCAAGTGACCACATTATGCAGATGTGTATGGATTCCATAATTCAACATTACATTAATAAATATGAAATCAATTATATAAATGAATAAATTGTTAATTAAAATATATGAATAGATAAAGGATAAAAATAGAAATAGAAATAATTTAAACTCAAAGCTTGAACTTGAAATGTTATATTATCCTACTTATTGCAATGGTTATTTTAAACAGCATTGTTATTAGAATTAATAACTGTATTTATTTAATCATATGAAATGCCTTTTTCGAAGGACTCTTTTTTTAGTTTCATAACAGCATATTTCCTTAATAATACGTATACTGGATTTTCTGTCAGCTTTATTTTTTCTAGTCTCACTTTTAATGTCACTTTTTTATTTGATAACTTCACTTTTAATAAGGTCACTTTTTATATTGAAATCTAACTTTTTACGTCACTTTTTCATAATCTCTATTTAACTGTCCCTTTTTTTTATTCAATAATGAATAATGTCCCTTTATATTTCGTAATCTTACTTTAAAGGTCAGTTTTTATTTCTTCATGTCACTTTTAATGTCACTTTTCATTTCTGGTCACTCTTAAAGACAGTGATTTGGTCATCTTCCTTTCACCTTGCAGCCAATCACAAGCCCCCTGTCTCTTAAACCAGGAAGCCCAACAACTACAAGCAGATCAAGCCAGTTAGCACATGTATTATTGACACAGTGAACATCTAGAACCACTCCGGATTCAGTCAGCAGCCTGAAGCAATACCATAAGTAAGAAAGTAACTTGAAGAGAACCGCCAACAAGAACGCCATAACATAATCATGAACATTAAAATGTCAGAGTGCATAATCACAACAGCTGTAGTTGCTAGTCCCGTTTATTTTTGTGTATTGTTTTCCATTTGCTTCATGATTATAAATGAACATTTGTCTTTTGAAGTTACTGCATCACGGTCAGTTGCACCACACTTCTCATTTATATTCCGCTCACTCTTTTTACTGCTGCAATAACCCAGTTCCCCCTTGGGATGATTAAAGATTCATCACATCTTATTTGTAATAACGCTCGGCGGGCCATTGTCTGGCTACTTACTGCCGGTGTGGAGGTAGATGGTGTCGCGCCTCTCTCCGTGCGGGTTCTGGAAGCAGCTGTAGAGGCCGTTGTGTCCCAGGTCCACCTCGGTCAGCATCAGTCTGGGACCCTCGAGGTGGTGCTGGGCCTTCACGTCCGTCCCGTTCACCTTCCATGACACTGACGCGTCGTTGTCCAGGGAGCCACACTGCATGGTGACATCATTGCCCATTCGCTCATACTGGTTCCTCGCAACTGGAGACACAAAGAGGCAGAGATTTAATGTAATGATGGTCCGTCAAAATGGAGACATATATGATTATATCGGCATGTTCAACAAGCACGATATTCTGTCAAGGGACTTCCCAAGGTGACACTCATACTAGTCCCTAGCAACAAAAAAAGGAAAATTGTGTATGACTGTAATATTTGATGATAGTTTTCACCAGATTGAATAAACTGGCCAAGGATATTACATGTATGGATTTAATATCTTTAAGTCAACCAAATTAGTTGTGGCTATATATTACTCTCTACCTATGTACATTGCTAACCCTAACCACAGATTTGTAGTTGCAGTGAAGGACCAATGGATACATTGTAACACTTGTTGTACAGTTCATTAAATACAATAATCTCTTACAACATTTAGTTTGATATCTTTCGATAAGTTACTACTTGTTTTTTGGGGCATTCTGGATGAATAACATTGCATTACTTTTGGTAGCTAGAGCCACAAACTGTGTATGAAAACAGCATTCATAAATACCTCAGAGTTCAGAAATCACTATTTAATGCTGAGCACAGAATGGGAAAAGAACACATGTCTTTCCTCCATGCAGTGAGCCAGATTTAGTTTCACCAGAGACACAGAGAAGAGGCATTGAGAAAAATGCTATTTTTTCTTTTAAAACTGGAGAGTTCTATAGTGTCTCTCCTCTCTGACTTCTGTTACCCGTGTTGCTTTTATCCTTAAATGAGCGACCTGGCTGCCAACACTGCTTTGGTCCCTGGGGTCACTAAAGTTGTGTGGACCGTGACCCTGGGGGGTTAAGGGATATATGCGAGCCTGATTGGGGTTTTAGCCAAGACACTGGGGTTAGTAGCCCTGCTCTGTTTACAAGTCCCACGGGGACACACAAAGTGTAGACCTCAGATTAACACTTAAACACTGAGGATCAGCAGCACAACAAGAGACAACAATGAAATATTGATCCCCATCTTTGGAAAAAGCTCTCGTCTATGAAGAAAAAAAAAGTGCCCAGGAATCAGATACTGTCAAGATCCTTGTCTTAGTGTGATGTCTCACTCCCTGTCTTTTTCTTTTGTTCGTGTTTCGCCTCCCTCTTTTCATTCTCACTACAATGCCTCTCGTTTTGCTGTTTGCCACCCGAGCTAGCTTCCTCCTCTGGATGTAACACAGCTGATACAGATGTCTAACGTAGTGTTTCATGTATATTTCATGTCCCATAACGGAGCCATTTATTATTAATAGCACAAGATCCCTGTCCCCATTAACATTAACCTGACACTGTTTGTTCGCTCCATCTTCCTCTCTATCTGTCGCTCATCCCCCCCCCCCACTTCCCCTTCGCTCTCCGTCTTTTATTCATGGGGTCTATATTTTTTTTTTGTCTCTTGTTCTGTCTGTCCATCCCAGTTTGTTCTGCATGCCTGCTCACCCCATTTCACCGAGTCCAAATAATGTGCGTGCATATGCATGGTGGTGGCAAGAAATGCCAATTTCCTTTGATCTCCCCCTCTGTTGAGTCACTTTGAACGGATGTGTGACTTTATTTACATAAAAACTTATTTGCATCTTGGTTAAAAGAAAAAAATAAAGTTTCTGACTTTGATGTTAGCTTTGATGATGATGCTGCTGGTGCACTTGCTTTATGTGACAACTAAGAAGAGAGAGGAGAAACTTTTCCCGCATTATACTGGAGTTTCTGAGAACATCATTATTCTATGGGGTATTCTTTAGTTATGAAATCTACTTACTTATCGAAGGGAGAGACCGTATTATTAAAAACATATATATTACATTTGAAAAGGTCCCTGGCTTAATATTCCTCTCACTGCCTTCAGTGGCATTAGGTTGTCTTAGGAAAGGGAAACTATGATATTTTTCCTACTCATCAGAAATGAGTATTTTCTGCATGCCCCTTCGAATATGTTGCTGAAATAACCTTTATGTAGCTTTTTCCCGTGAATGTCCTTGATTCTTTGACCTTCTCTCTTCTGCCGCCACATCCTGTCGTCCTTATCTGCTCAGGTTGCATCACTCTCTCTGAACCTCAGTCCTTTCCAATACCCATTCGTCTCTGTAGCCTTTGCTCCTTCTCCCTCTCACTGTGTTTCCTTTCTGTCCTCTACCTTGAACTTCTTCTTTTATTTCTCCTGTCGGATCAGAGTTAACCCTCCTCTCACGTTGTGCCTGTTTCACACTGTCTGAAATGTGGCTATTATAAATAATCATAATATACTGCTGTTTAGCATGGAAACAAATATTGCTGCAAGACACTGCCCATCGAAATACTCACGAATATGGACCCAACCATGCCTAAAACTGACAAACAAACTTTATAAACAGCTATTTATTGATGCATGTTGCACCCGTAGCTTATTCAGTAAGTTATTTTCACTGTCTACTTTTCCCCTATCTTATTGTCCTTCTCTCTGTTTTCCTCTCCACTCTCCATAGTACTCTCACCTCCGAAGCTTCAGCCTTCATCGGGGGTAAATCGCTGATCTTGAGCATTCTGCACACACTTGCATAATACACCTCACAGCAACAATGGGAACACAAGCAGCTACACTTATGAGGACACTCATGTACTCACACACGTATGCACAGGCTCTCGCAGCAGCCTGCATAATGTCCTCATGCCTCATCAGCATACAGACTAGCAGGCCTAATAACCATAATGACATTCAGCTCAAGTGCTATCGATCTCTTGGTAATAGACAGGGCATTTTAAGCAGCGCTGGAACACTGTTATTCACTGGCCAACGAGAATGAAAATCATCTATGTCCTTCACAAAGCTAACATTTCACTATTTGTACTCATTATTCTCCTTATTAATGTTGATGCCGACTGACAGGGCCTTCGTGATTTAACTGTTTATAATTCTCCTAGAGGCAGAGCAGATCAGATATTTGGAGTTATTTTCACAAAGGTTTAAGCACTTTGTGGAGGTTAAATCAAGTGAGTTACACCAATGATACAAATAACGATTCATGAGTGAAACAAAAAATGATTGAAAACAGAATTGAGGACGATAGATATCGCTGCAACTGAACGTTTTCTTATGTGACTTTCAGAGTATTAGACTGGTTTGAAAGGTAGCTTAATTACATTACATTACATTCATTTTGTATTCTAAGTAGTGAACAATTATTTTCATTAAGTAGATATTTCAGAAGGCTCAATGGTTTCTGAAGCAGATCTTCCTATGTGTTGCCTTTATTGGAGATACAATGTTCAAATGGGGAGATAGAGGGGGGGACATAGCCTGGCATTTTCTGCATGTTTTCAGGTTTAGATCAAATATCAAATATGTCATATCCGAAATGTATGAATGAAACTTGGGTAAATGTTTTGGTTTGGAATATATTTTTATGTGGTATCCAGTTGTTTTATGGCTTAGATCAATAATATGGAACACTGGGGCTCCAGGGGTTAGCAGTGAGATGCAACTATTCGCTTGCCATTACATGGAGGTTCAACGTTTTATTCATAGTAGGATTCTGCAGGGCACCGAGTGTGTTGAAGTTCTTATGGAGCCCTGTGGTGTTTACCAGAGCAGAACATTAGCATAGGGAGGTCATGTTGTGAGGTCACTGCTGTTAAGACCTGCAGGACATTACAAGCACAGTTCACATATTCACACAAACCCACAGGCGGTGAACTGCATGTATGGCTCCGTGGGCTGTTTACTAAACTGACATGAGTGATGAAAACACATAAGACTCTACTCATACATATCGAAGTCCACAATACATAAGTGCACATACACACTCATGGGAATATGTGCAGTTTCGTGTTTATAAATTGTATAAACACAATGGCAATCACAAATATGTGTACACACTCGGATTATGCCTTAATAAACATATTGCCATACAAAAATGAAGGCAAGCATAACACATAAACTTAGAATAAGAAATGTTGTTTGGTCAGATTCGTAGTCCATGCGTGTTCAACATAACAGTGGAGGTCAAGAAAATACAATGTCTAGTAAAGAAGTGAAAAACAATACGTGCAGTTGGTTGTAAAGAAGGAAAAACAAACTGACAAGGACAGGAAAAGGTCACAATGGTAGTTTAAAGGGGAACTTAAAGGTGACAACTGCTAATTTACCAGGCTCATACATGTAGTTTGGATTTCCACTATAACTTGATTACATGCTTTTTATGTTCAAAAATCACATTATTTTTCCCATAGTGTCCATCTGAATATACCTGTATTTACACTCTGTGTCAAACGCCCCATTCTAGTGCCTGTCTCTTTAAGGCCGGCTCCCGAAAAAGCCCAGCTCTGATTGGCTTGCAAGAAAAATAGCATGGGTCGTTTTCAAAACCTTGGGTGGAGATATTCAAAAGGGGTGGTATATTCTAATAATCCAGCATGTGACAAGAAAGGGAGCCAAATCTGAATAGCCTATTGAATTCCATGTTATCTGACCAAGGTAACCAAGAAAAAAAGGGCTTGCGCTGTCTCATTTCCTTCCATCTATGGGTTGGAAGGCACTCCAAATAGCCAAAGAGTGAGTTTGCCCCTTTTATAAAAGAACAAAGAGACATTCTGTGAGGTACAGAAAAGAGCCAAAGTGTTGTTTGCTTTACGTGACGGAAGGACAATCCTAAAAGAACATCTTTCTTTTTTTGCACCTTAATTAACCGTAATTCAACCAGAAAGGTAAATGAAGGTCAAATGATGGTTGGCTGAGTGTCAGAGAGGATATTTGTCAGAAAAAGTGGCCCCACTGTTTGATTTGATTAAACACTGCTGGAATTACTTGTTCAAACATCAAGAGCCATCGGGCACCACATCGTTTTGTCTTTCTATTGCAGACGCATCAAACCTCTGCTCATGAAGTGAGGATATTGACTCAGAGAAGGAGACTAGGTTAAGGCTTACAGGACTGCAAGTACATTTTTGTAGTGACTTAATGTCTTCCTCCTCAAAATGTCCAATGAGAATACGAAAAAAGTGGATTAAACCCCAAGTAGAGCCACAGAATACTCTCAT